ATGCCTCTCGTCCATTTACGCGTGCAAACATAGGGACAAGAAGCTGGGATCGAACCGCCAATCTTGAAGGACAACCTGTACTACCTCCAGAGCATTTAGGCCCATTCCCAAACCGCCCCCCTACACCCTACCCCTCCGTTTGCGCGTCAGGAAACACGTTGTTTACAAGTAGTTCCAGCAAACATCCACTGATAAACTGCAATGTTAACAACCTCATGATAGCCTCATATGTTTTAACTTAGGATCATACCTGTGTTTATTCAAAAAGGTAAAGGTGTGCATTTTATTATAAAGTTGTGTATATTTACAGACTGTTGCAAAAACTAAGAAGCTTATAAACATCATGTTTAAAACTAAAATAGCTTTGCAAAAAAGTAACACAATGAAATATGTTTGGAGTTTTATTTGAGTCATTAATTTACATTTTTTGTCTAAGAGATGCTGATTTGAAACCGTTGTTACATACAGTTACGGCATTTCCTGTTTCTGCCGGAGAGAGGGGAGGCCGTCCCAAAGCTTGCTGCTGTATTTACTCCCTCCATCTGACAGGAGGGAGCCTCGTTGAGCTGCGAGTGTGGCTACAGACGGAGTTCATTCCGTCACGGAGGGGTAGGGTTGAGGGAGTGGTTTGGGATTGGGCCTAAATCTACCGTGATTAACATAAACATGGTGGCCAAAATAATAGAAACTCCTCTTGGTTAAAAACGCAGTGCAATTCCACAGAATCCCAAACGGTAAGCTCCAAAAGGACGATACAGGTTTATTGACACCACTTCAAATATGTTTATGAAAAACAAAAAAGACTGCACCTATTCTAACTTAGCACCTCATAAACTGGCAATTGAGTTAACTAGTAGGAGAAGAAAACTTACAAAACTACATACCTCATTATTTGTAAGGGATTATATGTAAAGTAATTATACTTTTTAAGAGGGATCTATGTTGTGCTGTTAGTTGCTGGGGGGTTTACTTAACAGAATGTGTGGTTTGTTGTTGATTTATGTGTCTAAAGAATTCCACGGGGGATTGTGTAAATGGCCCGACACAAGAATAAAACTATTAATTCGTTCATATCATAAAACTAAAAACCTCCAGTATCGGGCCGGTCAATAATAAGCAAACTATTAACAACAGTGAGTGGGTGGGAATCATCTGAATTTCTCCTTGCTAAATAACAAAACAAACAGTGTTAGGTCTGTACTTCCTGGAACCCCCACAGACCCTCACTCTACACCAAACTTAATTTAGATCAGCAGATATCCATCTTCATTTAGATCACATCTTATTTTTACAAAAGTTCTTGCAAGGCCGCTTTCATCTGTGGACATTAAGCGCTGATGCACTGAGAGACGAAGATGTTTTTAAAAGAGAGGTATTGAAAACAAGTATTTTTCTAATTGACAGTAACAAGAAAATAGTCTTGCAAGTGCCTTATAATGGTCACAGGGATTTTGAGGAGAGCCTCTGGTATTCCTCAGGGAATGTGCTTCCTGGGGGAAGTTCACTTCTTAAAAAAAAACTAAAAAGGCTCCCTCTGTTAATCCGACGCTCAGTAAAGTGACACTTCACTACATTCAGGCCTTCAAAATAATAATTGTATGTTTCAGCTAGATCCGTAATCTGTCAAATGTTCCTAAAGTGTCCCAATAATTTAGTATTTGAAAGTTTTAACAACCAAAAACGATGGAACTCAATGCCAATATTAGAATCCTATCAATATTTTAAAAAAACTATATATACCAGTTTAAATCATGCCAGCCATAACAACACTTAGGAACTGACTTTAGGAAATCAAATATACAGAAAACAAGCTGAATAAATAAAAGCATTTTACATAATAAGAACATTTCAGAAACATTTAAGGTTTATGTTCAGACATTGAATTCATCACCTCAGTATTCTGAAACACTGGCGAGAGCCCTTCTACTCAGATGTTAGTGTTTTCATAACTTATACAAAGCTATGTCAGGCAGACATGCCACATGGTGACAGTGAGTTTAGTATAATATGACAGAGAGGTCAAGAAGGTCAAACAATGAATCTAGTGGACCGTTTTGTCTCCATGGTGGCAGGAAAGCTTAATGACGACTGAATGAACACATGCTAACAACAGTATATTAATGATTAGCATGGGGTACAAACTGGTGTATTAGAGTGGGATTACAACCAAAATATAAAATAAGTATAGTGCAGAATGCTGCAAGACAAATATTTTTACTCTGATGCATAATGAGCAAACCATTAAGCAAATAGGCCATCATTATAATACGTCGTACTGACATGCATAAGGAGGGAGGGACAGAGCCAGGACAAGCCCGGACAGAGAGCCTCAGAGCCCGGCCAGGCTCAGGTCTGAGCACCACTGCTCTGGAGGACTGACCACTGGCTGCTTGTCGTAAACAACTCGCAGAGAACAATGGGCAGGGTTGGGTTTACTTTATCCGATTATAAAAATATGCATATATATTTTCTCCAGCGAACAGATAACCTATTCAAGCCCCGCAGAAAACGCAGATATAACCTCGATTAAACATCATAGCACCAACGTCTACTAAATCCATCACTGGGTCTCTCCAAAAACAAGTCAGCCCCAGCGCGAGAGCTAACGTTAGCTGGGAGCAGCGACCCACTCTCGGTCGGGGATTTATCTTGCCTGTCAGCCGTGTTTTGTCGGCCAAAAAGCAAGCCAAACACCCCGTGTACAGTAAAACAAATCATATGCGTTGATATTCACTCTCAGAAAAACACACAAACCATAAATAATCGGACCTGTTTACCTGTTAGAGTAGCTGCACTCCACAGGGCGCCGCCATCTTTAACACCTCACAGCCCATCCCACCGTAGTCTGCCTCCGCTGTCGGGCTGCATACAAACTAATCCCACACGTTAGCGCCCCGCAAGTCGCAAGAGAGACTTTTACAACTAATTAAACCTTAAAAATAGCTCTAAAAAATATGTTGACCTACATTAAGTCAATCTTAAATTATAATAGCATCCGTAACCCGACACATTAATCGCTAGGTTGCAGAGCTAAGATTGTTTTTCCCATCTCACCCATTGGTGGAAGGATGAAATGTGTGTAATGCGGTTTCGCGTGACCCACATGTGAAGAGCGCACGCGCATATTAGATTTTTTTTTTTTACCAGGTAGTGGTGAGATCACTGTGGAAGCCGCCAGAAAATTATTTTAAAAATCGAGTAGTTAGGAATTGTAAAATGTGGGCCTATGTATATGCAGTATTTGGAAATAATTAAATGTAATCAAACACGTAGTATTTGCAGTAATCTTATCTCAAATACATGTATTTCTTATTTGCTACTGAAACTACAATCAATGTTGTGCTATAAAAGTAAGCAATGATATTTATATTTTGCCATTACTCATCTTTCAATGAACACACTCTGACCCACATGTGAAGAGTGCACGCACATTTTTGTTTCTGTTTTTTTTTGTCTCGGTAGTGTGGGATAAGCATTGAAGCCCAATAACGCCAGAAAATTAAATATAAAGTTATGAATGACAAAATGCATACAGTATTGGGGAGAAGTGATAACATGTAATCACACTATTACTTTTACTAGATTTTGTAGTAACGTATATTTACTGTAACTCAAGAGTGGGCCTAACTCAATTATATTAACATTCCTTTGTTGCCTTTACTTTATGTAGATAAATAATACATCTACAAACAATGTTCGGCCATAAAAGGTATATAGAATTATATTTAATATTGTCATTACGTATGCCATGACTCTTGTTGAAAATGAACAGTAGTTGTAGTAGATCAGATTTGACTTGTACATCTTAATACAGTTGAGCATCAAACGGGAAAGTATTTAAGTAACGAAAGATTAACATAGCCTACAAAACCTTGACTGAATGTAATTCTGGCATACTGTGGACGATGGAGTAGGTAGTAGTAATAATAATAATAATAAAAATAGATTTACTTTGTAAGCGCTTTTACAGGTGCTCAAAGTCGCTTTACAGAGATAGTGAAAAGAACAGAACAACAAATAAATATAGTTAAAGTCACATTAAAATCAAGCAATACAACAACAATCACACATTAAAAGCCAGATTGAAGAGGTGAGTTTTTGTACGTTTTTTAAAGGTGGTAGAGTGAATGTAACTGGTATACAAAATATGATGCAAACATCTTGAAAATGTGGTTACAAGTGTTGTTGAAAATTGTTCAACAGGAGCTACTGACTTTTCTCTTTTGTATTGTATCATGTTCTTATATATTTCATTTTACAACATTATTTTTCATTATCCTAAACTACGATAAGTTATATTACAAAACTGTAATGATCTATTGCGTGTCATAACATCCTGATGATAACAACAGCCAAATAAATTCATTTTAAATCAGAAAAAATAAGCTAAATTCTTATTTTTGTAATGATTTGTATTACATACAGAAAGGATGAGACAAAATATATGTGGATTAATAAGTTATGTTTGATAGAGTGAAGAGATGATTTAAAAATACACTTTAAAAACAATTTTAGAGATAAAATATTATAAATATAAGAAAATCGCTAATACTAGTTCAAGTCTCAAGAGTCAAGACACTCTTTGTCCACCAGATGTCGCACGTGCACCTCCTCCTTTATATAAATCCTCATCCTCAAAATGTGTATCCAGTCTTCCACTTGCTCTTCAAGATTTACATATAAATATATAATATAAATACAGTAATTTCTGAAAACTTTTTTCCCCTACTAATATTTTTAACTATTTGATCATATCAACATATCTTTTAGTTATGTTACCTACATGCGTGACACTGAAGCATCAAACTAAGAAATCTGTCATGTCTGAATACTGACAGGCTTTAACAAATAAAGACAGAGTCAGCAGTGTAAACGTTGTCAGTCTCCCGGACTGGTTTGGTGTGTGTACCGTTGGAGGTGCTACAGTCTCATGTGAGCATTTAAATCCTTCACACAACACAGTCATACACACAGTACGATTCAGAGTAAATCCTGTAAATCAAACAGTGTGTGGTGGAAATATTTGGTCGGATTTTCAAGCGGTAAAATCTTGTTTCTGTTTTTCCTATTTTTATTTTTTTTATAAATAGTGATTTAGTTGGGTTTTTTGGGGGACATTTCTCTCTAAATTCAGCAAAAAGGCAAACTAATTAAGCTTAAATTAAAGCACAAAAACGTTATTTTGGAAGAAAGTATTTATTGACTTTATTTTTTAAACATGTAAGCCTACCTTATAATATTCCTTTTACCCCGGAGCATTGGGTGTTTTGTGTGCTAACTGTTCAGGGACAGAGAAGGCCTGTGTTTTTTATACGCAAATTTGCACCTGCAGGTTGGCCTTTTCATTGGTTGAAACCACAGTCAGATTCCCCTTGCGAAATTATCTGATTGAAAATCAGGGAGGGGAGAAAAGGGGAGAGCAACAAGTGTGATGGTTTTACACTGCTTTGCTTTGCTGACTTTTTAGTAAAGGATTTTAGCGACGAATTTCCCTCATCTTAGCTTCTTACAACGGCAGAAGAAGGACATTACTTTTTATTACACCGATTTCTCGGGAACTTTCTTGGTTAACGGTGAGTCTAAAATAACTTCTAAATACAGTTAGTAAGACTTGTAATACTATTTCAACAAATAATATAACAATTTAAGCCGTACGAATATCAAACAAGTACTAGGCTACTAATTAAACTTTATTCTTTTGATAAGAAGAAAGATACGCATATTCACTTACCGTATAGGCCTACTTGACATTACTGCTGAGTATCCCACTGGGAACATAAATTAAATATAAAAGTAACTGAAATTATAAATATAACTGTATTCAGAATATCTTAGATTTAAAAACATGTAGCTAGTGACGTTGTTTACGTCTTTCACTTTGAACAATATTGTTTGGTTTCCATGGTGAATTTTGTTTTTATCCTAATTGTGTCGCACATTATTTTGTATGGTTTAGGATCAACATGCCGCGGTCATTTCTGGTGAAGAACAAAAGGTGCACGTCCTTTAATGTTCACCGGTCATATGAAGACGAGCCGAAGGCCCCCTTACAAACAGGTAATAGGCTACTGCAATAAAACATTTAATTATCTAAATATGTTTGGAAATACGGTTAGGTTAATTAAATTAAAACTGCCTTCTTGTAGCCTACTGCCTTAAGTCTTTATTTTGAAGCAGCACTACGTTTGAAATATTTGCATGAATTTCGATTTGAAGGCAGATTGTATAAGAGATATGCACTAATCCTACATATGTTATTAATGATGTTAAAATACTGAATAGAAGTTAACCAATTTAAGAAATTGTGACGACTTGCAGAGTTTTATTGTTTTATGAAATGTACAATTTGAGGGTTTTCCTTTATTTGAATCAATAACACTGTTAGTTGCACATAGGCCTACATGTTATATATTTCACATATCCATAGGCCTATACAGTATATCGTTTTCAGTATTTATTGTACATGTACTGTACACTATCATTTACTTTTTGCTTTATCTTTATCATTTTATATGTACATATTTTTCAAATTCACTATTGTATGTATGTTTCTTTCATGTTCTATAGCTTCTATGTTGCAATGTTGGAGGACTCTGAGACTTATGATATTAACTATGATATACTTATTCTGCATTATGACAAATAAAGCCTTTCAATCTCCTGAATCTTTTATTTATTGTGGTTTTGCAGATGCCCCACCTGAGGCTCAGAGCACAGACTCTGAAGACAGGCCTCAGTCGGTGGAGCAGTCTTCCCCTGCAGACCCCTGCTCCTTTGAGGAGGAGGTGAAGCTCGAAAGCCCCTTACCTGGTCACCCAGAGCCAACCAGACCTCCTGTGGCCCCCACTCAGCCATACTACCTCAACGGTGAGCTGCAAAAGCATATATCTCCTTCAGATTTTATAAAAATATTTTACTTTTTACGCTGCTACAATATTGCTATATGCACATTATATGGACAATATTGCACTAATATTTATTTTTGTACATTCGATGGACAATCTGCGCTAATGTACATTCTCAAAATATTGAAGGGACTGTTATTTTGTATATATTGATTGTTGTGTTTTTATTTAGGTCTGTGTGCAAAATGTATCTTTGACTGTGTATATCTATACATATTTGCACACATATTTTAATATTTTATACACATTTGTTTTTATATTCAGGTTGTGGGAAACAGTATTTCGATCTCTCTGTCTGTACACACAAACTGGAAGATTGACAATAAAGTTGACTTTAACTTGACTTTAAAACCTTCGTTCAAATGGATGATTTTCTGTATGTGTTCTCCCTCAGAGCCTCACATGGCCGGATTCCCTCCCTACTACAAGCCGCCGTACGCCTGGGAGCCGATGCCCCCCTCCTATAAGATTCGTCAGATGAGCTTCAGCCCCACGGTGCTGCAGCACGCCAGCAGCCTGTACGGGTCCCACATCAGCCGAAGCCCCCAGCCCCAGAAGCCTCTGGACTGCAGCACGCACTACTCCCCCACCTCCAACACCTTCCACTGTCTCACCTGTGAAAAGGTAGGTCAGCCTCACACCTGTGCATATATACTATAATATGTAACTGTTCTAAATAAACTCTAAAAACAAATGCTCCGAAAGGTAAACAAATAAATAATGCATATTTTTTAGTGATGTCAACTTAAATTGAAATTATGTTTAACCAAGAACCTACACTGAGCTGGAGGAATTTGTAATGTGTTTTTCAAATATATTTTTAACTTCACTTGAGCCAAAAAGTTTAGATTGAATTTCCAAAAAACAAATACTTTTTACACATTACTCTTACACAGGAATTCTTGAGTGTTACTGTATGAACAATTTCCATGATTGTAAACGCAAATGTTTAGGTTGACATCAGTTCAAAAATCAAGCTGCTCCAGTTAGATTGCTGCAGTAGTTTTCATTTAATAAATATCTTTGTTGAAGTGTGTATCACATTACATTATACCAAAAGTTTTCAACAACTTAGACCAAGTAAAACTAATCAAGATAACAATCCATTTCATTTGGTCTCTGTGATGATGGCGTATCACCTCTGGGTATTTGTTTGTTTATGATACTCTTTTAATATGTTGGTTGTTTTAAGATATTGTATATTTTAGCCGGATGACGGATTATGGTAATCGGTTGCTGGTTCTTAATTTATCAAAGAAACAACCTGAGAAAACGTTGGAGACAGCCAAAACAACCAAGAAAAACTAAAATGTTATCATTACCGTTCTTTACTTATTTATCACCTGGTCTTGTTGTTTTAGAGAGGTGGAGACCTCTGCGGTTAATTCGGCTCCCAGTAAAAACCTCCTCAACGTCTTGATGTGAAATTATCACACGAACAAGCCGAGCAACAACTGCTAAAGAAACAGAGATTTTTTATGTGAACAGCTCTACTTTAATATTTGTACCTGTTTTAATCACAGTGTTTGATTTGGAGTGGAGATGACCTGTTTGGATAATGAGGCTCCCGCTAAAAACCTCCTGAACAATGAACAATGAAGTAATCCCAGTAAGAAGCTGACTGCATTGATGTTAATAGTTAAGACAACAACTCCCATGTTATCTGTTTCAGGTGTTCTCAACGCCCCACGGACTGGAGGTTCACGTCAGGAGGTCGCACAGTGGAACGAGACCTTTCGGATGCAGCATCTGCAGGAAAACCTTCGGCCACGCCGTGAGCCTGGAGCAACACATGAATGTCCACTCCCAGGTAAATCTATGGGGACTCTCCAAAGCTGTATGAAATATTAAAAGTTTCTTGAATTGAATGGGCTATTCAATTAAAGTTTGTCTTCTTGTTTATTGACAAAAGGATAAAATTCAATAAAATCCAGTAGACAATAGCAGCACATACATTATGTATAAGTGATGTAAATACATATGAAGGGCATTATTAAAGTTAAAATAAGCAGATATTTCAGTTCCAGGAGAAAAGTTGAAATCTTTAAAAATGTAAAATGGATGGGTTGTTCCTTTTGAAAAAGCTGCTTTTGCATTTACCTGACCTAATTCTGAGTTTTAAAGGTTTTCCCCAAGTTGTTAAGTTAATGGCACTAAACATGACTTAATACATCTGAAGAAATGGTTATGATATGAAAAAAGAATCAAGACATTCCCATTAGTAAAAGTTGATTTCACTCAATCCATAGTTTAGTTTTTACGCAATATAAAAAACCTGACCTTTTCCCACCAATGGACCCACCAACAGGTCTATTGAGTAGATATTGTTGGTGTTCAAATTTACATTTTATTCTTGTACTATTAAGAACTTCTTGTCTATGCTGGTCTAAATGTGACCTATAAACTTGGAGAAAAATTCTCTTTTTTCACATCTTTTTTATTTGTTGATTACTGTGTAACACTTTTACTTTCTTCTTTGACCAGGAAAAAAGCTTTGAGTGCAAGATGTGCGGGAAAACCTTCAAGCGCTCCTCCACTCTGTCCACGCACTTGCTCATCCACTCGGACACGAGGCCGTACCCCTGCCAGTATTGCGGCAAGAGGTTCCACCAGAAGTCTGACATGAAGAAACACACGTACATTCACACCGGTAGGTCACAGTCATTTTACAAAAGGCAACCTTATATGAAGCTGTTCATGGATGTTATTATCTGCTATCCAGGTGCAGCAAGCAGGAATTGTTTCCAGGAGTAATAAAACTACTGATAAATCAGAAAAAGAAACTTAAACAAATATCCTGTTGATTTGCATGTCTGGTGTTCCTGCTTCCACGCAGCGCTCTGTGAAAGGAGGTCTATGCTGGTGACATTTGTTGCAAATAAATATTTGACAAATCTGAACAATGGCATGATTCTTCACCCGTAGTTGTTATTGCAAACATTTTCGAGGGAAAACTCATACAAGCACCATTTTGAATGAATCAAAGATATTGGATATTATTTCTTACTGTGTTGTTTTTGTGTGTTTTATTATAGGTGAAAAACCCCACAAATGCCAAGTGTGTGGTAAAGCGTTCAGCCAAAGCTCCAACCTGATCACACACAGTAGAAAACACACAGGCTTCAAACCGTTTGGGTGTGACATTTGTTCAAAGGGCTTCCAGCGAAAGGTGGATCTTCGCCGACATCACGAGAGTCAGCACGGCATGAAATGAAAAGGAAAACAGTGTCTATATGTACATTTCTATTAAATAAGCTGATATTTATTCCTCATTGAAGGCCATTTATAATGAAGAAATTGAGTGATTGATGAAAATGTATCTGTTAATATATCAAGTGGTCATTTAAAGATGTGTTTACATGATGAGTGGGAGATGTGTCAATGCTAAATATACTTTTATTTCATAATTTATTTAAAGTATGCCTGATCAATGTGTGTGAGCTATTCAATGCTTTCAATCGGAATAAAAGGGTGAAATGTCTGCCGATCTTTGTTTTTTCTTTTAGAATAACGACAAATATTGGGAAATCCAATATAACATCTTTGTGCCCTTAAGGCAGAATACATGTTTGTCTAAAATGACTGGATGAGATCTGTAAACACACTTTTACTCCTCCGTTCGCCTCTTTCTGTGTGTTTTGTCACTTTTCCTGTCAGAGCAGGATGTAAAATATTTAACAGCGGCCTTGTATGAAAATCTCTTACAGGGATGATGTAAAATGGAGTAACGCTGCATTCAAATAACACATGGAACAGCATGCAAATATAAACCCAGAGAGTTGACTGGAAAGCAGATGAAGGATTAGGGTTAGGGTTAGTCTACTAATCTGAGTAGAAAATCAAAATTGCCCAAACTGTTGGATGGACTGTAACAAACTTTGCACACATGCAGTCAGTGTAGCTGCTCAGCCCTTACCTTGCGTTGAGTCGAATGGGATACAGGGATTAATACGGGACTGTGTAAAAAGGGATTGATTACTTAGTCAACTGTTACCACACCCAGACGCCTTTTGGATTAACTTCAACAAACAAGTGTCGGCTCTAACGAAGACACACCGCCTTCCTCAAACACCAAACCTGTTAGGACATTAAGCTGCTCGAGGCAAATCAGATCATCACATGGGCCTTATAAATCTGACACCAACAGGATGCAGCGCTGCCAGAACTTGTACAAGTATTGGTTTTTGGATAAATTGGACCAATTGCTGATATAAGATAGTGATGGCAATACTTTTTCTCAATTTTTTCTCAGTGGGGCAATGATGACACATTTTTTCTAGGCCGACCCAGGTTAGCATCGCAAGGCAGAAAGCTAATGGGATTTGTCCATTGGGTAATATAGCAGAAAATAACTGTGGCAAACAAACGTCTTCATTACATCTTTGACTCCATATTTGAAGTGTACATGCAATGCCAGAAGTAAAAAGCTAACTTTAGGCTACAAACAAACATCATGGTCACTTGACCTTAATGTCACCAACGCTAAGCTAAAGGTGGCTAATGTTCGCATTGTGATGTTTAGTAGTCTCATTTAGTCGATGTTAGCAACCACTGTTGATACATAGAAGTATTCGATATTCAAGTAAGGTGTGTTTACTCGTGTATTTTTTGTCACAGACCACAAATAGAACATTTCTAAAAGGTCAACTATTATGCACAATCCACTTTTTCGTTTATTTTATACATCAACGTGTCCCCTCTGTGTAAAAGAGATTCTGAAAGTTTCAGGAAAAAAGATTAACTCACTTTTTGTCCTGGTCCATTTATATAAAAACCTGTCTGAAAATGAGCTGATCAGATTTTGGCCACTTTATGATGTCATAACGATTTTTAATCCCCCCCCCCACCTTACCACCTGAATCTCCTCCTAGAGCACCATTGTGTTACCAAATATCTCTCATGCCCCTTTCACACCAAGGCTTTTCCTGTTCTAGCTCCGTGCTAGAGCTTTTCTGGTTCGGAACCGGTTCTTCGGTTCAGCTCCCGCTCTGTTCACACCGCTCAGAGCCCGACTGGTGCTGCGTAATTGCGTAACCGTTTGCGTCATGACGTAACCGTTTGCGTGCCTTCTTCATAAAGCCAAACCGCGCGGAAACCCCTCACATCGACAACAACAAATGGAAATGGAAGAAATGGGACGACTTTACTACCAACTTTACATTCGTTACATGCTACATTCAAAAGTTCTTTACAATCATCATCATCAACTTCAACGACGATTCCGTAGGAGAAAGAAGGTAAATATACGTCCTATTCGATGGCGTTAGAGCTAGCTGTTGTTAGCCTCTGCATGCGCCAAGCTAAAAATACCCAGCTTTGCAGCATTAATTACTATGGTATAACATTAAAACTGATTCTCACTGTCATTTCCATCATGTTGAGGCTGGCGGAAAGGCGGATGTCGCGTGTTATTTGGACACAGCCCAGTTCTTCCAACGTAAGCGTGACGTATGCGGTGCTTGCTTTCTAGACCGACAACTCTTTGGTGCTTGAAACAAACCGGATTCCGGAGCTTAGAGTCGGCTCCGCTGCAGTGTGAACAGGAAAAATCGGTGCTTTTCAATCTCAAGCTCCGAACCGGCCCTGGAACCGCATTGGTGTGAAAGGGGCATCAGAGGGGCGTTGGGAGTGGCTCCTTATTTTCATCCAAAGTAAAAGACAGAGAATCAGCACTTTTCAAACAGAGCTGAAACAGAGGGGATTATGGTATGCTGCAATGATCTGTTTGGTATTTTGAGGCCAAACACTTCAGAGACATATTTTGTGTATATCTGAGACTTATAATAAAGTAATGAAAAACGGTATAATAGGGGACCTTTAAGTTTGTGTTGACAACAGATATTTTTTAAAGGCCCTGACACACCAGGCCGAAATCGTCCGTTTTCGTTAGTCGGACGACGAAGCGTGCCCTGTCGTCCAAATTCAATTTGGTGTGTCCCGCACCGTCGGCCGTGACACGCCTTATTTGGCCTTTGATGGCTGACGCACGGCCGATTCAACATGTTGAATCGGCCGTGACGAATACACACTACCGCCGGCTGCTGGTAAGGAGAGTTATTGCCACTCCCGCATGCGCAGTTCGTACGTGCTCGGCTGAAGTCTTTGCGGTGTGTTCCAGTGCGACACATGGCCAAGAGTTCTCTGGTGACTGCCTGGTGTGTCAGGGCCTTAAGGCATATAACTAAAGAAAGGGGACCAGACAGTCGTGGTGAAATGCAAACTACTTTCTAGGTTTCTGGACTTCTTCCTGCACCACTCTATGGGATCTATAAAAAACACATACTGTATACTATGTACTAACAATTAAAACCTGGGATCATGATTTCCCCTGTGTTGTGCCGAGGGGAGTCACTGCTGCAGAAATCAGGGAGGACGAGTTAGGGCTTACGGTCTGGCAAACAAATCTGAGGCCTTTATGCAAAATGTGTTGCCATTACCACGGCAACAGGGTCCGTTGTGATCTTGTACAGTTACAACTGCTGCTGCCACCACCACATCCTGGTGAGAGCAGACGGAGCAAATCAAAATACTGCACAGGTTTAACCAACAGTAAAGGGATGCATTTTGGGTGGGACCTAACAAACAGGACATGAAGTTCCTGAAAGGGGAGGAGCCAAGCCTGGGGGGAAACGGGAAAATGTGAAAATAGTGTGGAGAGGTCACCTGTAACACAAGTGTACAATTGTTTGGTTGTGAAAAGCTTAAAGTGGAGAATGTTTGCTTTGTAACAGAGATGTCTGAGAGAAAAGCTGATGAAGACTGTGCAGGAACTTTTTATCTGGTTATCTAACCCTTTGTTCATTTGCATATGTGTTCCCTGAAGCGTTCGGTATCGTGAAACTTGCAAATGTACTCTTTCTAACTGTTCAGCTCTCACAGAGCACCACTAGTAAAACATAAGTTTCTGAAATTCAGTACTCAGCATGAAAAGGTGCATTCAATATATTGAATCTATAGTATGTTTGCAGTGTGACAGAAGTCATTTCTTCAAGTTACTGCCAGTACAGTGGAGCCTTAGCACTAAAAACCAACGCTGTTCCATCCAACAGCCAACAAATGAACAAATCAAGACTCAAACATCAGCACTGTGCCTCAAAAACTAACAAACCCCAGTCCAAATGCAGTTATGTCCCTCTGTATCTCACATACATACCAGATGAACAGATAGATCACACAGCTCAAAATTTGTCTTGCAAATGAGCATGCAAATGAACCCTGGCTGCTACTGTGGTGTGGAAACACTGCAGGATGGCAGGAGAGCCTGAGGCATCGAGGACACAGTCAACATCAACTGCTATGTTTGGAAAAGCACATCCCCCCTAAAAAAATCACTTTTACAGTTGTAGGACCCAGATTTGTTCCTCCTTTTTCTACATTTAATCTGATTCTGTTGGCTGTAAAAGCAGTTCAGGATGTTTGACTTACAAGTTGTATTACAACTAACACAAACGGTTCCTCTACTTTAAGGGTGAATTTGACAGAGCAGCATGTTAAGTGCTTTCCATAAAATCAGGTTATTTAATAATGTTAATTTAAAATCTTTAAGACCAAGCGGTTCATGAGTGTTGAACCTAATTAACTATTACTTCGACTATTCCTATTTAGGAATAGGCCTACAAGTCAAAACCCCTGAATTCAACTTTAAAGGTAACTTTAGTACGAGACGCTTTAAAAGTTGAAATGTGTTGTTCTTTTATTTTGAAATAAAAGACATCGAATTATTCAGGTGTTACAGCAGCACAGGGATGTGTACGGTGGCCAGGAAAGGTAAAGCTGCAATTATGTAGGCTTACAAATCTGTATAAGAGGTGTTACTAAAAACAGGACCAGACTACCTAGAGCTGCTGTTTAGAGCTTTCACCTGTGACACAAATGATGCATTTCAAAACTGATTGTACCTTTTATAAAGAATAGAAATATTAGATGTAATAATATCTCAGCCAAGTGTGTCTCCCTTCGTAACAATGAAGAGTTGTATCTCACTCAAATGGCTCCCGTATCGTCAAAATGGCGTCAATATTACAAAAACTGGGATTTTCATCATAACATATCTGTATGGAATTAATTTGCAGTTTCACCGGTTTAAAACAAAAACTAAAATTGGATGACAGTTTCTAGCCACGAAAAAGGCCAAACTGGTAAGTTAAGCATGTTTTTCTGCTGACCAATTGCCACTAATACTTTTTGCAAAAGTAATGGGGAGGACTCGCTCCCCTTGCCTAACGGTTAAGAGGAGCGAGGGGTAAGCAGTCAATTCTGCTATGAAACAGCCGATGACATAGGTTATTCAAAAAGTATGAATGACCACACCCATGAGTGCATAAAGTCACACCGAAATATTAGACTGATAGATCCAGAAGTAGCCTATACGAGATTAGCTCTGGACGAACGGACAGATACACACACAACCAAAAAACAATAGTATTAAGAAAACAAAATCACACATTTGAAAGTTATTTCCAAAATATTACACATCAAAAT